TTCCTTCCTTAAATGAGACAGTTTCTCATGTAAATTATAGTCTTATACTAACTAGACTCATTTAGGGCCATTTCTTTAATGTTGTCTGTGTGTGTCAGTTCTTGGCCACCCTAAAGATCATGGACTACAGTCTCCTGGTGGGCATCCATGACGTGGAGCGGGCTGAGCAGGAGGAGATGGACGTGGAGGGCACGGGAGAGGAGGAGGAGTACGAGAACGACGGGATGGGTGGAGGCGTGCTCACAGGCTCCTTCGGCACGCCTCCCGACAGCCCCGGAAACCCTCTCAACTGTGGAGGATTCTTCGGCCCCGGGGAGTTTGACCCCTCTGTGGACGTTTACGCAATCAAGAGCCACGACAGTGAGGGTGGTCTTTGACATGCATCTGACTTACTGAACTTAGCTGTTACTTTAAATGGATGTTTAGATGAATGTCTGTCAAGGAAGAAGAAATGAGATGCATAATGTTTGATTTGTTTAGTTTAACATTTACCTTAAATTCCAGTTGTGCAGAATAAAACCTAACTATCTCTATCAGCCAGGTTAAGAGCACTCAACTGGGGAGTGGAATTCCTCACACTGTAGAAGTAGAAATGGGTGGCATCATTTATTTTCAGTGAAAGTAAAGCCTTGTGATGTGCTATTCTTGTGCCAGGTGCTGTGAAGAAGGAGGTATACTTCATGGCCATCATCGACATCCTCACGCACTATGACGCTAAGAAAAAAGCTGCACATGCTGCCAAAACTGTGAAACATGGGGTGAGTGTCAATAATCCATATGAAGATTAATAAGCCCCATGGTCAATAACACATAATAAATAGGACATGAAACAGAGTGTAAAGTATATTAAAAAACACTAAATAATTTCATCAACTATTAAAATGCCATTCAATAATATGGACTGTTTTCATCATTCTCATTATAAAGAGTTTTGTTAGAGTTGTTAATTCAAACAATGCCCTTTTTTCGTAAGTCTGTTTTTATTTGATAAAGTCACTTTTGATGACAGTGAGAGTTGTCACCACCCCATCACCTTCCAGCCAATCACAGGTGCCCTAGCCTTCCAGCAAGCTAGCTAGATCCAGTTAACTACAACAACCCAACAAGAAAAACTGACACAGTTTGTGTCTTTGTTTGTGGAGAGACAACTGACTGTATTAACTAGCTAGCTGCTGCTAACACTGACTCTTCACTCTAATAAAGCCAAGCTCCCAACCCAACCCAGCTTGTTATTGTATTGGATGTGTGCATTGTGTTTATTTATAGCAGCAGCCTCTAGTTTGTTTATTCAGAATAACTTTGGCATTATGTTACCAGATGCTTTAGCTAACAGGATTCAGTCTGCTACACAGTAGTTGTTGATCCTAGACTGGGAGCTTTTGATTGGCTGAATGGTGAGACAAAAATGACATTTGCAATAAATATTTACAGAAGAAAGTAAAAATGAATAACTTTCCATATAATTTTGAATAATTTATAAAAACATTTCACTATAGATTGGTTCCTTTAGATACTTTATTCAGTTTATTCATGTTATTTATTTCGTAATGAACCTTCCACAGCAGGCACCATAGTGGTTTACAGACAGAAGAAATTGTGGCAGATTATGTTTCCAGTCTGGTGAAAATGTTCTCTGTTTCGTAACGTAAATTATGCCGCTGGGTTTTGAAGTACTTGTTTGACGAAACAAGAATGGAAACAGTGACAGGTATTTTGCGGAACTATCTAATTGTAAAAACAGTGACTGTAGTAATGTTAGTTGCGGAGCTAAATGTAACATATGAAGAGATTTTGAAGCTGTGAGTCAGGTTCTACTCCATGTAAGACAAAAATAATTGTTCTTAAATTTCATGTGTTTCTCCATCTAAATCTTTTTTTTTTTATTTATTCCTCAGGCGGGGGCCGAGATCTCGACAGTGAACCCGGAGCAGTACTCCAAACGATTCTACGAGTTCATGTCCAACATTTTATCATAGACTCATCTCCCACCTCCCAGTCCAGCCAGTCACTTCCTGTCATAGATCTGTCAAATGCCACGCACTTATTTCTCTCCCCACTCACCCCCAACCTCACTGTAGGTCCCCCCCCCCACCCGCCTCTCTACCCCCTAATTAAAATAACTACCAGCATCCTCCCACAGCCGGGACAAGTCTGGCAGGAAGGATGCACCGAGCCTGTTACAGTGTCCGACACAAATACACACACCGCCGCCGCCACCACCACCACCACCACCACGCCACCCTGGCTCCCTCATCCAATGCAAGGAAAACTCGTGAAACCCACTCACTGAATTCGGAAAGACAACCCGATAATCTCCCTGTCCTTCTTTTAATTTTACTGCCCCCCAAGTCCTCCTGAACCACTTTGTTACTCCTCACGCCAGCACGGAAACTGTCTCACTAATGCCTTGAATGAGTGTGTCAGCTTCAGCAGTTAACAGTCCGTTAGTACAGTCTCCTCGGTTTCTGTTCATGTCGTTGTTGTTTCTTATGATTTCTATTAGACACACACACACACAGACACACAGATGTAAACAACTCGCACAGATGCTGAATGGTCAGATTGCATGACAGATTGCTGTCTTTGACAGTCACCATCAGGCTTCTCTCCGTAACAACAGAAAAATAAAAAGCTGAGAAATTGGAACGACAGGGGATAAACACATTAATATATAATGGTGTATTAAGTAAATGAATGCAATATCAAAAATGCATGGCTGATGTGTACATGAGACTCCACCAGTAAGTTGAAACATCAAACCACTGAACTTAGCATCTGAGTGTTACAACTAAAACAACAAAAAAAAAGAGAAAAAAAAAACCTTGGTGTTTGAATGTTACGTTGCCATATTGTTTTTGAATATTTTTGAAATTTTAACCGTGAGCTTGGTGGAGGTTGGTCTAAGAAAAAAAAATTCACATAAAAAGGGGAATTCTGCAGCAAATACTTGTTTTATTACCATAAGGATCATTTTTATATCTTGTTTACATTAATGTAGCAATTTTGTGTTTGTATACAGTATTGTTTTGTTACCAACAGACATTAGAAAAAAAGGTTACTTGAAAATGATTCATTGCATATTAAAGGGAGTTTTATCTTGTTTTTGTTGTTTGGCTGTGCTTATTTCTTCAGTGACTGTCGCTCAAATGCTTCAGTCTGGAGTTTGTGCTACCATGTGAAGCACAAAGCTGATATATTGTGCTGCTAATAAATATCCTCTTTTTTTATACGCTTACTTTTTTATTGGGTTTTTAGATTCACACCTACATTGTAACACTGAACAAATAGTTGACACTTAAGATCTACAATCAAACCACTATATTTTTCATCCAGTTAATTAAAGCAGCAACAAGGAACTTTCAGTTTTTGTTGATTGTGGCGGCCCCTGTGGACACAGGTGGTTTATTTTGAAGGAAATTCCAACCCGGTGCATTAAGTAACTATAGAAACAGCCCATCTTCTAACTGATGGTCTTGTGTGCTCATGTAGGTCATACAGAGGCATCCTTATTAAATGACTAACTTGGTTAAAAACTCCTTGCAGTGCATTTAAGTTTAGTATGAAGTTTATCCCACCTAGCTTTTATATTTTGGGATTATCGGTTATAATAATGTATCCTTTGCCTCAGCTTGGTGGTGTGTTTAAATGCTGCAGGATAAAGTGTGTGTGAACTCTCATGAAACTGACCTCAGAAACTGGTGGAACAACAAATGTCAATTTGGGTCACGTGTTATCCACCAAACTATGTCCATGACACCGACTAAACCCCACCCGCCAAAGGTATTCTTTAATGATGCAGTTTAAAACTGGACCCTGAGTGAGGCTTGTTTTGTCAAAATGCCATAAGACGTCTAATTTAGCAATATTTTAACAAAACAGCAGGACCAGCTAAAGAACATTCAAATGATTTAAAGGGGTTGTCAGTGAAATCAGCCCTTTGGCTAACTTCCAGCACATTATTACAGTTAGCAGTCCCCTCCCACATCACTATTGAAATTCTGCTGCCTGCTCTTAAGGACCGCCTCCTTGTGGAGTTCTCTCTCCTGATTGGATGAAATGGGAACAAGATACCAGAAAATGTATTCAGTATGCAGTACTGCAGAAAGGAGGGAGACCCATGTTACTAACTGAACACTCTGTATCAGTGATGGCTGTCAGAATGTAGAGCTATTTAACAATTATTTTAACAAAAATAACAGCACCTGTAATATTACCTCTTCCAAGAGACTGAGATTTTCAAAAGCAAGATTAAAATTGAAGTCCCTAGTTTGAATTAAACTCCTAAAATGATACATCCATAATCCCCTGTAGTTCATAAACATGGCTTTGACTTTCAGATATAGATATATTAAATTCTATAGAAAGCTCCTCCAGAGCTGCGCAGAACACATTAAACACCTGTTTCCACAGGCTGCATAGCAGTGAGTAGTATTACCGATGACTGTATATTTCCTTTCAAATATTATAATCATTATCATTATTATTAATTATTATTATTATTATTATTATGTACTTGGCTGAATGACACTGCTACATCTAATATTTGTGTTTTATTTCACAGACAGTATCAAGAGTGATCTTTTTCTAAAGGTATGTGGATTAAGTTACTAATCCTGGAGGAGTTTGAAATCACTGGCCTACGTCCAAAAGATGGAAATTCTCAAAGCATTTTGATCCCCTGCGCTGTTTGGAGGCTTTAGTGTTTGAGAGTGACATTCGGACTGGTCCCTTGAGGGGTCTGCAGTGTGTCATTAGTCTGGTGCTACTTGCACTGAGACATACTGGAAAACTAACTTCACATCTCCTTGTACCATCTTTTAAAGAAACAAACACTCCAGACTGTCATAAAACAGAAAGGTTGAAGTATTTTCCTGCTGGTGTCACCTTCCTTTAATCTGAATTCCAGCTGCCAAGTATGACATCTTAGGAATTAGGTTTGCACAATGCAATAAACAACACAGATGTGGTGAATAGTTCCTCTGACAAAAACATCAGTCGAGTTCATTGTTTAAACCTGTGTTCATTTATTGAACAATATCAATAAGAAAAAGAAAGAAAGTACTAGCATTGGTTATTATTTGTATACAAAAACGTGTGTTGACGTGTGGGGAGAAACAGCAGCTCTAGTCCATCCTGGCCTTCAGGGTTCGTGTGGTGATCTTGTCTTTCTCACTGCCAGAGAAAACAGAAGGCTGTCAATCACTGCAAGCCTGTCATTCCACCTACCCCCAGCCTGTGCATACTCCACTTATCACTGTACTTACATGACATGTACGACGACTCCCATGCCAGACACTGCATCTCTATCAACTGCATTCAGCATTGCTTGGGAGATGGTCTCAAACAGGTCGTCTGGTTCCTGCACGATCAAACACATTTCTCAAATAAGAAGACAGGAAGAATACCTGTGGGGCCAGATTGACCAGAACATAGGCAGACCTGACATACGGTGCAAGAAGAGGATGTGTGTCTCTAACAACTAGCCTCTATGGCATAAACAACCAAAGTGGCATAATTTCATTCTTCCTTAGTGCTGTGTTGAAACTGTCAGTTATTGGCTGCATAAATAAACCACTTTAATCTTGTAGTTCTCTGCCCCAAAACTTAGATCTGACCATTTTCCACATAAGGAAGTTACTAGTAACAACATTTACTGTACATGCACAAAAAGCTCATTATCCTGTGGGATCCTTAGGGGAATACTATTTGCACACAAATAAGCTGGTTGTTTAGCATTCAGCAACCAGGTGTAAGAGTGACTTCAAACTTCACACACTACTTACCATGTCCGGCTCCCACAAAGATTCACACATGCCGTACATCTGCTCTGAACAGGTGCCGCTCACAACAAAGTCCTCCGTCACCATGGGGCAGCCAATCAAATCCAAGGAGCAGATGAATGGCTCTAAGGTTTTGGGATCTAGTCCGGCGATCACAGGCTCAATGTAGTATGGCCCAAACCTAATGAGAGGATCACATATCAACCAGATCGCCTTCTATGTATCTATACACCTAAAGCATGTTGTCTGTCTGCAGCTTTTAAGTTGGACGTGGGTTCAGTGCACTCACCTCCTTTCATACAACAGGTTGGACACCATGCTCATGAAGGTCTTGGGCTTGATCTGGCGACCCTCCTTCAGCTCATACAGGTTGAGTCTGAATTTAAGCCTCTGGGATCTACAGACAAGGCAAAACACTTCAGTTACCCCCACGGTTGTTCGTCACTCTTCAGACATTTTTTGGTATTTAAAAAAAACCCAAAAAAAATCCATAGATGCAAATGAAAATTTTACGTGTGTTTTAGCTGTGACTAACAGCATTACTAATACCACAGTTCCCACTAAATAGTTAGTAATAGTAATAAGTAAGTATACAACAGCATTGTGTCATTCTCAGGGATGAATATTGTCAGTGTGTATTGAAATTAAGATCTCTGAATTAGTGTTTGTCCAGACCAAGGCATTAGATCAGAAAGTTGTCGTAGACGCCCTGGTGAAAGACCTGCTTTGTCACTCATAGAGGGAAAAACATGGAGGTCAAACACACTCACACTGTCTGAACATCAGTGGCCAGTCCAGCCAGCCCGATGTACAGCCTCTCTCCCATGGGGAAGATCTTCTGGAAGTCTGTGGTGACCATCTGAGCCTGAATGCCAAATCTCCGATCTGCTGCTATCGCCACACAGTTCTTCCCCCGCATGGCCATGACGGCCCCTCCATTATAGGACATAATAGACTGGATGAAGAAGGAGAGGAGAGGGGTAAGTCAGTTAGAGCTGAAACAATCAATAGATTAAATTATTAGTAAATCTACAGAAAATGTAAGAGTAACTTTGTTATTTTGTCTGCGCTTATACGGTTATGTTATTGTTCTACTATTTGTCTGTGCTTATGTACGTTTTCTTATAATGATTTCTTATATGCCATCAACCTGCCAGCAAATGAAGATGAAGTTTAAGACAACTGTATGACTAAATCTGGCACATTCACATGATGTACTCAAGGTCTTGTGTTAATTAATATGAATTATCCCTTCTGATTAATCAATTAATTGTTAAAGTCATTTTAAGTAAAAAAGACAAAACAAATCAATTAAATATGTAAGAAATTCTAAATAACATCAAAATGCAGAAAATAGGACGTCAACCACAGAACTGGGCTACATGAAAGAATACAGTAAATATGTGCGTAACATAAAATATATTCTATAAATAAGCAGTACATTCATAATCATTACATTAAAAATATGTTTCCCTTTAATTGATCAGTTATTTCTAACGGATGTGTAAACATGGAGTAGTGATGAGTAGTAAAATAGAAAGTGTAAATGAGACATAAACATGTGTTTAAAATATTACGTGTTATATATTACTAAATTCAAAGACATTAAGGTTAACATCGTTACTGTGATGTTAAAATTGTAAATAAACTGTTAGTTTGCTGCCCAGTAACCTTAGCTACAAGCTACTCCATTATTCATAGCTATATTATGCTATATTAAGCTTGTGATCATACTTTAACTGATGTTGACGAACTGAACTACAATAGTTAAAGTTAACCTCAGTTAAAAAAACTAAATTCAGGACCATTAATCTAATCTTAGTCTACAGAATAACGTCCAACGTTAGTTAACGTTAGCTCATGTGCAGCTAGCATGGTAAAGCGGAGTACTAGCTTTCCGGCTATCGCCAGCTACTATTACAATGTGTTGTTCTGTAACATTAGCTAGATGAAACAAAACGTTGAATATAAAGTTATCTAAGGACATTTTAATAAGTTGTAAACTTAGCGTTGAATCAGTCTTCAGAGTATATGAACTACCTTACTTTAGTGAGCTAACTTAGCCAGTGCTGTCTATGAGCTACCAACATTAGCTTAGCCAAGCTCTTGTAACTCTTCGCCTTATTAAAACATTAAAACCATTTCAGCCTACAGACCACAGGTGCATATGATCTAAGATAAGGTGTTCTTACCATGGTGACGGTGTTCTGGTGTAGTCCCAACTCCTAGAACTTCCAAACTCCTTGCAATTATGAATGGCTACTAGCTCCCCACAGTGACTACACGATTTAGAAACACAGAGATCAGACTAACGTGGATTTTTCTACGTAATCGTGTACTGGAAATGTAATTGGCTGGATGACCGGCACTCGGCGCAAAGCGCTGCTGTCATTGGAGGATATGAGTGGTTGCGAGCGGCGCATGCATAGTTTGTTAGAGGCGTGTTAAAGTGAAATTAAAACTTGTGGAACTGAACTGTCACTGTGCGGTTCAGGCCCGAGGTTGACCCTCACTGGGTAAGGTATGCAACCAATGATTGTTTGATCGGTTTATGTCTCATTCGTTTTTATATTAATCGTATAATACTGAAAGAGTTTTCAATAACTCCTGGCCTGTACTCACATTTGTTCACCAACCACTACAAAACCTACCCAGTTAGCAGATAATATCTATAGACGATCCATATCTTTTCACCTGCACCACCAAACTGGATAAACAATGGACTATCAAAGTTCTGATACATTAATTAGCACCACACTGCTGAATGAGGTTTTGACTAATATTAATTCTACTTCTGAGGATTTTCACAATCTCCAGTGACGGCATAGGTTATTTTAAAAAGAAAAAAAACACCAGTAATGGAGCTCTGGAAACATGTTTTATTTCAGTTGCTACTCACAGGTGTACACTAAGTAACAAATATATATTACAAAAACATTTGAGATAAAAGCAGGTCGTATTATACTGTAAAAACAAAAACTATGTACTGTACAAAGTTCAAATCACATGATATTTAAAAGGGTATTTCAGGAAAGTAACTACAACAGAGCAGCTATGATAGGCCTTTTGCATGAATCTGAAATAAAAATGATGTTACCCTTGTGGAAACTGTTTTTCAAAATAAAAGTCATACGTAGGCATGGAGCTATGTGGGTCCCTGTTTGAACTCATAAAAGACTCCCACCAACCCATCCATCCTCATAAAGGAGTAGATGACATACTCTTTCCAATTCTTTCAATCAGTTAAGTTCAGTCTGTCTGTAGTGACAAATGTGTTGTGTCTTCATCTCTTCATAAAGTTGTCCAGGGAGGCTGGCGTCCTCTGAATGGAGTGGATATTCCTCTTCACTCTGTCCTCTAAAGAAGAGCTGGCAGCACTCTCCAGCTTCATGTTACTGCAAGAGGGGGAAGGTGAGTGTTAGTGGAGCTGAAGATGAAGCAGGCAAGAAAGACACACCAGGAGGACATTATTTGTGCATTTAAACCAGACTAGGAGACATTTGTCCATAAATGTCACACCCTCTGATTGTCTCTGTGTTGCTCAGAAACTTACTGAATGAAGCCAGCGTGGCGGTCAATCTTGGCATTCTGTTCCCGCTGCTTTTCCTGCTCGTCTTGCCTCTTGTATCTTCTCACATTATTCTCTCTGTCCTCCTCCCTCTGCTTGGCCTGCTCCATCATCTCCCGCCTCTTGCGCTCCAGCTCTTCTGCAGAGAGCTTCCTACATCAGACAGAAAACAACAAAATTACTGGAATCCATTCAGTGTGGGTGGTGATGAAGACAATGCTCTGAAAAACATTACTATTTATCCTTGAGGGTTTTTTTTTTTTTTTTTCAGACTATGATTCTGTCCCAGCACTCCATTTTGAATCTACTTGCACAAACAGCAGAATGACTCAAAGCAGTTATTTCGTGCAAAATCTGTTAAAAGATAGAGACATGGATATACCATGACAGCAACATGACAGAAGGGTTTAAAGCAATATTATGTAACTTTTCCCACTCAAAATAACGTCAAAATCATTTTGATTCTACACTACACACTTTACATCTAGTTGTAATAGAGTGAATAGTGCCTCTGTCATTCCCACTCTGTGCCCTGTACGTCTTTTCTTGCACAATGTAACTGTTGGCTCTGGGTGCTGGACAGCAGTAGTCACACACCACCAACTATGTCCCTGATTTTAGTGAAACTGGATCATATTTTATGGAGAAAATGTTTTCTAGTTTTCCCTCTGATGTCCTCCAGCAACTCCTCCTCAGCTCTGGGTGATTTGCAGGGTTTCCTGATGGACGGTAAAGTAGGAGTGGGGGAGTGTTGGTGTTTATACTGGTAGCACAAGGGGTTTTTTTCAGGCTTAGGACGGGGGCGGTTGCTGACGGAGAGCAGCTCCAGTGTCTCAGACTGGCTTTTAATTGTTGGTGAGAGCTTGGTGAAAAAAAAAAAAACACGCTGCAGACAGACGGCAGGCTGGCCTTCTTGCCGTTGAACTAGTACGTAATATTAGCTAGTTTACTCTGTCTTGAGTTGTTGCACTTGCTTAATGTTTGGCTGTGTTAGAAAAGCTGTCGACTTGCTAGTTTTTGATCATAAGTGATGCAATCATGATAAATGCACATGACACTGTACTGGGGGCGCTAAATTGCAAAAATGTAATAACATCTTTATATAATGTTGTTTTAAGACTGAATACAGGAGGGATTCACTATCACCACAAAAAAGATGAATGGCATTCTTCCATAAGCAAGCAAGTAATGAATCTTAAACAAAGTACTGTCTAAATCAGGATCATGACAGTATTTGGACTACAGCCATTATTTACAAGTGCAGAGTCTACAGCTTCTGGAGCCTTGCCAACTCTTACTTGGACACGGGGTGCCTCTGTCTGTGGTGACGCTCTCTCTTTGGGCTGGCATCTCTAGGCTTGACCGTCCTGTCACCTCTGCTGTGTGAGGAAGAAGAGTAGGAGTGACTGTTGTTCCTGTGTGGCGATCTGGAGCGGCTCCTCTCACGACCCCCCGAGTGATTGAAGGGAGCTGAGGGCTGGTGATGTCTGCCAGCAGGGAGCTAAGAGGGAAGACAACTGTTAGGACTCATACTGGTTCTGGTCCAGTGAGAGATTAATAGTTGAAACTGTAGAACAGATCGTATGTATGTGTGATTGCTGACCAGAAGGCCGTAGCCTGGAAGATGATGGGAACGAGACTTGGTGTCTGCTGCAGATTCGTCTCTTGAATGTGACCTAAAAATAAATGACAGTTCAAATTGTTTACTTAATTGAACCAACTAATTAATTATAGTAAACATGTTGGTTTTTTTTGCAATATACGTCATGTACCTTGCTCCTTTCATACCTGTGTTTTTTCTCGTCTTCCTCGTCTGAGCTTGAACTTGAACTCCTGCTCCTTCTTTTATGCTTCTTCTCCTTTCTCCTCTCTTTGTCTCCTTTCTTCTCCTTTTTATCCTTCTTCCTCTTCTTTTTCTTGTCTTTCTTGTCGAGATTCTGGCGCAGCTGTGAGAGAACCAAACAATCCATGGTCAAACATCCGTAAGTCAAGTCAAGTCAGCTTCATTTCTATATCACATTTCATACGCCAGGTGTAAGCATTTAAGATAAGATGGTATTATTAGTATTAAAAAGGAATAATGATAATATTAATAATAATGATAATGATGATTCTAAAATAAACAATTGTTTGGTTAACATTGTTTTTAGTGTCCTTTTAAAAGAAGACACTGTTGTGGAATGGTTTTCCATAGTTACAAAAATACTTGAAAATCCTCCCCTCTTGACACAGTACCAGTTTTCAAACACAGCTGCGGTTGTCTTGTGTTCATCAAACAAAATTAAAGCAAACATAACTTTATAGTAGCAATGCAAGTAAATGTCAGACATGAGGTTATTTAGAGTAAAATAAAATCTTACAAAAGGTTAATCAAAGTCAAAACAACATAATACAACAATACATCCAAGCAGTTACACAGTAATGTTACCATTTCTTTAATTTTCTTCATCTTCACTGGATTGGTTAAGACTTCTCTCTTCTTTTCTTCCTCGCGTTTCCTTCAGAAAAAAAACAAAACATCACCGATTGGCAACTTTCAGCATGTTTTCACAACACATTACAAGAGATAAGGGACTTTACTAACCTGATTTCAAACAGGGGGTCTTCCCTGATCTTGGCAGCCAGGTCGAGGTTGGAGGCAGGGGTGGTGGGGTTGAAGATGGACCCAGGCAGGAGGCCGGTCTCAGCCGATGGACCGCTTTCTGGCTCCTCATATTGGTCGGTGATCTGTTTGTCAACGGGACGTCCCAGAAGATACTCGTCTCTGGACACCTGGCCAGCAGGGCCCTGGTACATCCAGTCCAGGCGATCATCCTTTTTTCTTATCACCATACAGAGAAATACAACATGAATTAGACACTACTTTTTTGTCTTAGCCCACAAAACAACTTTCAGAGCGTCAGAGAACTAACTTGATGGCGCCAGTTTCCTCCGCAAATCTTGTCATTTCTTCCCGTGTTCGTTCCTCTTTCAGTTCTTTCTGGAGTTCCTCGATCTTCTTGCGTTCAGCCTCATGTTTCTGTTCAGCTTTCCAAACACGCTCAATGTTTTTCATAGTCTGGGGATGCCAGCTCTTTTTCAAGTTCTGGCAGAAGACAAGGTTGAAGACATTTAGTAACTGTAAAACTATCAAGTACTAGCTTTAGTGTACACATTTGACTTGAAAGACAGCAGCAGATTTATAGAGGTGGCCACCCCAGTTTGGTGTCAAATGCTCTAAAATTTAACACGTTAATTTAGATTAATTAAAAAATATAATGTGCTGAAAAATGGAAATGAAAACATTAATTTAATAATCAGTCATGGCCTAATTTGTGTAATGTAATGTGTGATTGTTTGCTATTAAATCAACATATATTTCTGCCACCCTCTTCCCATCCAGTGACTGTTTCTGTCGATGCGCCCCTGCTGAAAGGGTTAAACAGCGTTCTCATGTCAACAAAATATATTTACGTGGAAACAATGAGTATAAAAACAGCCAGAGGAATACAGTTCATAAGGGTCTACTGTACGTCCATAGCGTCCTCAGTTACTTTCGGCAAGGACATACTTTTTTTGTATTTTAATAACGACAACTTTTACCCTCGAGTCTCACAGCTGATGCTCAGTCAGTTAAACTAACGCAAACTACCGTTAACATTACCTGTACGTTACGTTACTAACGTTACTAACGTTAACAGTTACAAGCTATTGAAACAGATATTGAAATATAAGTCCAGAGTTTATGGCTACACTGAACTGTAACTCATAACCATTCACAGTTCAGTCGGTATTACTCATGTTGTAAGCAAACGGACATCTTTAAACACACATATTCTGAATGGAGTTTGGTCACAACCGTCTTCAAACATCAGAGAAAGAGACTGCTCACACTTACCAGATCGCCGCCCCCCATCTTGAAATATTCGTCGTTTCAGTTCAACAAAAATGGAAATATGTCCTTAAAACTATAAAAGGTAGAACATCAAAAGTTGCTAGATAGCTAGCTAGAAAATGGAGCCACTGAGGGTTGTGTGTGAGATGTGTTATGTGTTTCCTGTTTTGTATGATTTCCTTTCCGGTTCCAGCTCATGCTGCCTTCAGGTACCCGTGGTAAGGATCTGACATGGCAAGATTTCCGTCGTGAATAAACAGTCAACGATGTGACTTTCAATTGGTTTTGGTCGCAATTAATAAAAATGAACGCTGTGTCAATGTTCGTGTTTTAGTGGTTGTTAATTAGTCACACAAACTGTATCACATAATTAAACACGCGTTTACCATCCGTCTGTCGAGACAACTTTCTGCATATGTTGTTCATCCATATGTTTCATCTCTGAATTCTGACAGCGGCCTAAAGCAAGCATCCTGACCCTGAACGCAGCAGTTTAATATAAAATCGATGTTTTCCAAACTTTATGGCTTCTGGCCCTTATAAAGAAAGCAACTTTCACTCTTTGGACATAAGTTATTAAACATTTTAAGTTTAATATATTTATGTGTGTGTCTCACTGCCCATTTGTCCTGCTTCTAACACATCAACTTTGAGGACAAAAAGTTCACTTGCTGCCTGATATATCCAGTGTTATTCACTGTCAGTGCTCACAATGTTATGGCTGATCGGTGGATATACAATGTTTGTGTCATATATTAGATATTACTGATATATGATACAAACATTTACAGGCTGTATAAATAGCCAACTAACTACTATTACTACTACTATTGAATAATAATAAAAACAATAATGAGAAGTCTGCTGTTGTATTTGAGTGAAAAATGAAACTGCATGGAGTATTTAATAATGAACAGACCAGTCTGGTAAATAAAGATTCAACATGAACACAGAATATAGGTTTTTTTATTTAATAAAGGACAATAATAGATTAAATACAAGTTATCACACCATGATACTTAACTTATTAAACGTTTTAGAACTTATTTCATTACAGTCAACTAAAACATTTACTAAAGCAACCAATTTAAAAAGGTTGTCCATCTTGTTCTACTGACCAACATAAAATACTATCTATAACAACATCAACAAAAAATAATAATAATAGTCAATGCACAATAATTGACTAATGTTTAAGCAATGTCTTCCATTTTTATCTTCTATACATAAATACAGCAATCGTGAGCCTCCAATAAGCTCCCTAATATATATAGAAATCTCAGCCTAATGTCTGTGATGGTTTACATACATCCTAATAGTGTTTTTAACTGTAAAGCCACTCACACTGCTTGCTACAGAACTATTGATCACATAATATTGATTATGAAAGTTAACTATTCAAAACAAGTAACCTAAACCATTTCTGATGCGTGTGTTGTTCAAATGCATTTAATTTTATTTACTGGACTGCTAACAGTCTTTCTCTGCATACTAATTCAAAGTCAAATGGTTGTAATGTTAAAAAAAAAAGAGTTTTATTTTCTTTGTCAGAGTCAGCGAACATGGAAAAAGTTTAGACACACCACAAGTTGTTATTAAAATGTGTTGAGAGATGAGCCCCTCACACATTCTTTGTTGATGATTGGGACAACAGCTTGATCTGACATGCAAATGGAAAATCAAGCTGATGATATTTGGAGAAACTGTATAAACCCACTGAATGAGTTACACCTGGATATTACTGGAAGGACAATGTTCTGCTTCCACCACCGCCTGAACCTTTTGAGGCATGAATTCAAGGCATATTCTTTCAAGATTTTCTTTTACAGTATGAAAAGCTGTATCAATGAATTATTTCTGCCACTTGGGGGCAGCGGAACAAGCTGATATTGACATATTAGCACTTTCAAAAGACATTATAGTGAGCTGGGTAACAAACTGTCACCTAATTACACATCCAGCAAACAGAGCAAAAAGTTGGCATTCGTCTGGAGTTGTGTTTGGCCAATACTCCCTCTCCTTTTAGCTCGCTTTGGTCTTCATTGAGTGATAATTCTCTGTAAATTCATCACTTCAACAGAGTAATTTGATCCTTTGTTAATATGAAAACATTAATTAGTGCAGCTTTAAATCTTGAGGCCACTGGAGTAAACTACCTTTCTGGAAGTTTCGTTAAACACAGCAGCCTGTAGTGTTCACATGGTGGATCTGTGGAGTCGTGTTTATTGTTTATTGCATTTTGCAACAGAGACCAAGATTCATAGGATGATGTCCAGCTTTGGTGATCATGACGCTCAGCTTTATCTTCTTGTTCTTACCTGCCAGAGTCCAGGGCGTCACTGTCCTCAGCCACTCATTTTTTATGTTCAGTTAGTTGTGAGTTTATCTTTTTCACATCATTGTCACACTTAATGGCTGTTTGCATTGTTGCTTTCCATTTGGTAACCTGAACCAGTTTTCACATTCTCCTACTGTATGATCATTCTCATGAATTAAGTGTTTTGCCACCAAAACTATGATGGTGACAGAAACACACTATTTTTGTAAATAGTAGTCTTCATGAAACTCCCATTTAAAAAATATTATATCATATTATTTTATGTTATATTATATCATATTATATTATTATGTCAGCATTATGGTAAAGCGTGATTGTCTGTTGTACTTTCATTTTACTTACATACCAACACACACACACACACACACACACACACACACACATTTTTGTGGTAAGAACTGTCAATTATCCATATGGATACTGACGTTAATAAAACAAGAAAATGCTGTATTATATTCCAGTGTCTTATCACAACTTGCACTGTAGACTACACACATATGGTGCCAGTGTGAAACAAAAACAAAATATCACTGTTTCCTTTCTCCGTTCAAAAGCACGCTGCCTTCGAAACTGGTAAATTAAAGTGTGTTGGAGAGAAACATTTCTCCAACTCTTCCAGTAACACACTTGATTCATTTAATTGTAAACAAGTTAACAAGCCACCTTCAGTTGATCTCATGCCAGTCTCTTGCTCTACTGGTAGTAGTGGCTCTAGCAGCAATCCAGCAACAAGCTGCAGCTTCAGCTTGGTTGCCTCCTTAGCCACCTTTCACTTTTAGTAAACAGAGGAAAGCTCTATCCACGGTAAAATTCCTGTTGTTTTTTCTGCGTGCATTTAGATTATCACTGAGCTAGCCCCACTGATAAATTCACAGGACCACAGACGAACACTTTCTGTTCCATCTGACTTTCATCAGTAAAAGTTTGTCCAAACCTTTTTCTATTCGCTATTCTATCGTAAAACTATGACACCTCTATGACAAAGAGGTGAACAAATGGTAAACCTTTAACTGCAAAAAATTCACTGAAAGTGATGAAATTAGCCGGACTGCCCTGTCACGCTGGAGACTGAGGGGTCTGTCTCACATTTCAGCTTCAGTGGGGGCTCTGTGGTGTCAGACGCAGACACATGTGAGGATGACTGAGGAGGTGTGGGTGCATCAAAGCCCTTATCCATCCTCCCATCTCCATTCACCCTCTCCTCCCCATGTCCTGGTGGGGACTCATGTGTGCGCATGTGCTTGGCCAGGTGGTCATTGCGCATAAACACTCTAGGACATAATGCACAGCTGAACTTCTTAGCACCAGTGTGGGTCTGTAGGTGGCGCTGCAGTTCATCAGAGCGTGTGAATCTTTTGCCACAGAAGAGCCAGTTGCAGACAAATGGCCGGTCCCCGCTGTGCCATCGCAGGTGAGCCTTCAGATGGGAGGTCTTGGCGTAGGCTTTGCCACAGCCGGGGATGTGGCAGTTGTGCATGTGCTTCCTCCTGCTGTCGTCAGTGCTTTGGCCCAACTGCTCGGCATGGACGCAGTTAGGGCAGCGACACACAGCCTGGCCAGCACCTCTGGAAGAGGAGCGGCGCTGGGGCTTGGGGCGGGCTGAGACAACGTTCTCCTGTGGTTCCTCCATGGAGAACGGCTCTTGCTGCAGCATTTCAGGGGCCAGTGGCTCCATCTTGAAGCCATCCTGGGGGAAGAGGTGGGATGAGTGCGAGGTGGGAGCGTGCTGAGCTGGAGGCAGGGTGCACAGCTGCGGGTCAGAGCCGTAGGGGCCTAAAGAGGACTGTAACCCCATTGAGCTCCCTGGACTCACTGAAGGCAAGCCCACACCCTGCCCCGTCTGCAGGTCTATCCAGCTCCCTGGCTGGACATCCCTGTGGAGGTCCCACCAGGATGGGATGTTCATATCTTCTGAGCTGCCACTAGGTGGTGCTGTCCGTAACCAAGGCTCGTAAGGGTGGGCCATGTCAGCAGCTGGTGCAGGTGCAAGACTGTTGATGAGGTCAGCCGCTCAAAGTGTTGTTCACGATCTTCTGGTTAAAGCTAAGAAGATTACCACATGATGGGATGGCGATGCATTGAAAAAACCTGCAGAAAGAAAGAACAAACAGTTATCTCTTCAAATCAGGTATCAGCTCAGCCTATTTTCTCAGTGACTTCACTAAACCACATGACTTTGAAGTCCTGAGGTCATTTTTTTTCCAGGCTTTGAAATTACTCAGCTCCTGCTGATCTAACATTTTTGTACATCAGAAGTGCAGACACTCAGGCCTAAATCCCCCTGTCTACAACATTTAAATAACCAACCCTGAGTACACCTCCTTCATTGCCATGGATACTGCAGTTCTCACGCTGCGTGGCCGTGGAGACAGAAGAGAGGGGGAGACAGACGTGTCCAGGCAGAAGCCTGCCACATGCATCCGCTGCCAGGTACTTCCCATGGAGGACAGTCAAAGACAAGCGCAAAGAAAACAACATCATCGGCCCTGTGCAGAGGCAGCGGTGGGGGGGAGGGACGAGAGTGAAGGGGAGTGTTGACAGGAGAGCAGTTTGGTAAAGGAAGAAGTTCCAGGGAGGTATGGCTGCAGGCCAAAGTCTATTTGTACGTCTCTGAGGTTTCTGGAGATGAATCCTGGCAGACAGGAGAACCTGTTTTTTATAAATCACACATGATTTACAACAACAGCCCTCCAGGCAAGTTACAAAAGGAGCCCCGTAAAACACCCCGCCTCTTACACACTGGCGGCAGAAAGCATCAGCAGTTGCATACTGACGGCATTCAGGAGCCTGAGAATGGGAGTCCAACAATAACATGAGAACAATTACTTTATGTATATAATTATGGGCACACGCTCTGAAACAGCATCCTGTCCCGAACACACTCCAGGTATGTACACTTGTGAACACCTCAACGTCGATGTCAGTCAGCAGGAGGAGGAGCTATGATTTCCAAAGGTGACATGAAGCTTGTTAAAGTCTGACAATTCTGTGGAAATTTATGACAAGCTATCAGCCTGCAAGACTTGTGCTTGGCTCCAAACATGTCCTAGCCCCAAACAACTTGTTGACTTCCACCACACCCCCATCCTGGAACATCTACAATTATCTTTACAGCAGGAAACAGTAAAGTAGTCTGAAGCTTTAGAGGTATGTTAGTCTTGAGATCACTTGATACCATATCTGACTGCACAAGCTCGCCCAGAAACAAGCGGTCAAGCTCCAGTGGAAGACATACACATCTGATATCCAGATCCATTCGGGACAGGCGGAGCGTGCACATGGTTCAGCATACAGGTGTTGTCACTCTGACTGACAGTGGAGGATCTTCTCAGTAGATCTCAATTTGTTGAGTCAATACTGCCAAACCAAGAGGATTACACTTCCCCCTCAAAGGTTCAGTCAAATCCACTCAGAGATGCTTTCTAGTCGCAATGAAATCGTAAAGCAATTAGTTTGGAATTCTCTAATGAAAGGCCTGGTGTTAAAGGTCAAGCTGATTTATTTCACGTCGGCCTGGAGCCAGAGCTGCTCTGTAATTTTTTGGGAATGCAACTCAGATGCACGGTGGAACGGTCCCCCCAACTCCGCTCCTACCGTAAACAAACGAAGACAGCAGCATCCTCCTCTGTTCGCTAAAGTGCTGGGAGCGCTACAAGCTCCTGAGGGAAACAGCTGGTATAGGGGGGCCCCCAGGCGGACAGCAGTTTGAGAGGAGGAGGATGGTACAGAGCAATGACAGAGCTTTGGTCATAAAACCTGCCCGACCAAGACCCAGCACAGCCCCCGGTTTACAAGCCTGCCAACGGGAAGAGGCACGGAGGGGGAATTTTTAAAAGCAAGTGCAGTGTTCCTGAGTTGTAACATTTTTTGCACTTTTTGTTCTCACAAATTTTATCAGTAAGCCAGCGTTTCTGATCTGAGAGCCTAACGATTAAACCTTTCCAACATAAGCTGCCCCCTTTTAAACTGTTAACCTGCTAATCTGCTGGTTTACACTGTTGCATTGATACATTCTTAAATCCATCTTCTAGAATAATTCACAGACCCAATTTAATTCTCATTCTAACCACCACAGGTCTCCTATCCGATCTCATCCCAGATGTAGAACAACAGTTAAACCAGTAATGCTGACTGTCTGTGGACTGTCCAAACAAACTAGTTTGGGTCAAATGTCATCCACAGGTAGTTTGTTTTAACCTGCTTGGGGGACAAGATGGGTGGAGAGGAACACATCAGTTCAACAGGTGCCAGGTCATTTGTCAGAGGAGCATACCACAAAGAGTTTCAGACACTTTCCTATTAAAATCAAAAACCTTTTGACCTTTGCTTAGTGCCCATGTGTGGAAAACTGCTTGACATCAGCACAAAAACTTTAAATATGTTGAAAAGAACTGCTGTAATGACCAAAGTCTGACCACAAACCAGTGCAGAATCTGATGGGTGCAATAATAAGGAGGAATATATTTTATTTTTGCACATCCAAGTGAATAAGTCAGTGACATATAGAGCTGCAAATGGAGGGCTAATGTCAGGTAACCGGTTCCTCTGTGCATCAACAGTATGAGTAAGTGCAGGGATAGTTTAGATATGGATGACAGCTTTACATCCTCAGTGATTTAGGAGCGTCTGTGTGTGACAATGATTCTTACACAACTGCGTAAAATCTGTGCTTATTTCACAACAATATCTACTGCAGTTTTCGCGACAGCAGCTTTTAACACCATTTTTGTATCTTTCCATCTCTTCTGAGTGCAACCAAAAAGCTGTTTCACATCTGATTTACAAAGTTCAGAGCGGCCACTAACAGCCACTGTACAATAAGTGGAAGCATATTTTATATTAAGTTTGGTACTCCCGATTCTCAAATAAATTCACGCAAGTGCAGACTGCAGTTTTGTTTATTCAAACACTGACCTGCAACCAGAATCTCTTTGAATATAATAGTGTGCTTATTCATGTTGTTTCAGTATTAATGTTGTAATGGAGATTAAATATCAAGCATGCAGGTGGGATTTTATTTAAAATGAGATGTACAAAGTGGGACACAAATTGAAATTAGATTTACTATGAAAACTGTCAAGATACGTACTGTATACAGTGGTGGAAAGTTACTAAGAACATTTATTTCTGTACGTACTTCCGTACATTAGAAGTGCTTGTTAAGTATTTCCCTTTAATTCTACTTTATACCGTATATATAATATATTACCCTTTAGTTTTATTTAAAAATTACAATAACTTTTCAAATTTTACATACGAGACATATGATCGGTTTAATTAAAATGATGCATCGTTATTAATTAAACTACCCAACAGTATATAAAGTAGTTAAAATTAACTTTATAGCCACTTACATTTATGATCCAATAATATGATAATGTGACACAGACAAATTCTTATTTTTGATTCTCTGAGTACATTATGTTGCTAATACTTGTATGCTTTTAAATTTTAAACATATACTTACATAGCCTACTTGTATTTTATTATTTACTATTTTACTTTACGTAAGTAAAGGATCTCAACATGTTTTCCACCACTGCATATATATCTTATTACAACTTGCATTTGAAATACTGATCAATCACCACAGTTACGACATGGTATTCTGAATAAAAGCCTTTCTATGCGAACACAGTAATATAAATTCCAACCAGACCGTCCAAATTGATATGCAAACACATTAACACAATAATGGATTTTATTGAATCCCATCATGTGCACCTCCACTTTAATAATTAACCTCTGAATCTTAATTCAAAATATTCTTCCTCTCTTGCATTTAGTGTAGACGACCACATATTTGTCTTTTAGTGTAGATTCTAGGAAATCTTTCATTATTCTCCAGTGTTAATCAACCACAGGGTTCCCTGGGAATAATTCTACAGGGAACAAATCACAGCAGTCTACTTTAAATAAACTAAATATTTTTAACAGGAAAAAAGGAGAACAATAGTCACATTAGAGCAGAATTTAAAATGAACAGCAACAACCAGTGTCACCAGTTTTTCTCAACAGCATTAATGTACAGATTACAGAAGAGTTCTACAGGTGTGATTCCCCGTAATTTGTTAATTGCTTTTAATTTTCTTTTCATTTTAAGATGGAAAAGCTTGATAATTTATTTTATCTGAGTACATGATACACTAGGCTATTGAAACTGCCCCTCCAGGCCAACAGGTCAGCCTGTTGAATCTGTGCTACACAAATCAATACTCCACACTTATCTTTTATTATTATACCTGAAAACCTGGACTATATAGTCATATATTTCATATATATATTCATGTTTTATCCATGCGGCCAATATTCAGCTTTCTTAACCACATGAATGCTTTAACTATTCTCCAAAATACAGGACAAGAATTCAGGCTTGACTTTTAGGTTTAATGCAGCTGGTATGGCCCCTTTTCTAGAAGATGTATGTATTTTTTTATTTCTGTCTCCAAGTTAAAGGAGTTTTAGTAGCCTAAGTATGTTGTACTAAATCTGTTTATTTATACTTTTTCTTGTCTGCTTTCAATATGAAATTACTTTGTATGTGTATCGACTTCTCTGTAGATGACTTGAAGCCTATAGGATGAGCCTATAGTCATAAATGATGAATAAAGTCATCTCTAGTAAAGATAATTTAGCTTATTTATGGTAATAAAACAGATACGGTACCGCTTACAGTAGGTCGCAGACAGTGATAGTAAATTCCCGAGTTACCTGTGGAGCTGCTGCTGCTGTTATTTTCTGTTTGGAATAAATACACCTTGGTTGGAGAAACTTAGTCTCAGCTCAGCTCTGCTACTTCTTCCCTTCGTCGAAAAAAGTGCACAGAAAGATAATATCCTCATCATATTTCATCTGATTTTCTCCATCGCAGACGGTCCAGGTGAGGCAACATTGGCGTTTTGGCGCACAGGTAAGCAGCATTCTCAGGAGTGACAAACTTTATGATAGGCTGTGCGTCTTCAGTCCCTCCAGGCTCCGCCCTCCCTCCCTCCGCCGCTGGGTATAGTCCCCCCGCTGAAGATGCGCCCTCCTCGGCTGCAGGTGAGGACAGGGCTCGCTTTGGGAAAACACGGGGATCAGTAGGACAGTCTGTAAAACCTAATTGTTTCACAGTGTGGTCAGGGGATCTGCGGTTGTCCCTGGCAAAAGAGGTTCCAATTTTAGCCTGCTATTACATGTTTGTAATTTAAATGTGCTCAAGACGCCCCCCTCACTATATTGATATAAAAATTACACATTAATAAAAAAAAATTCCTAATCATAATCATAACTATCTGTTAATGTTCCCATCAAACAGCAGACACTTCAGTTCAGTCCAGGACATGCATAGAACCATGTCATTAACATCAGTATGTCATTTTGCTCTGGAAGTAAGTAACTAAAAACTAAAAAGTGTAATTGTTGGAGTGGAAACACAAGTTTCTGATTTGCCAGTGCTAATCAATTAACCAAATCACCCGGGGTGCCAATGGCATTTTTGGTCACCCCCAATGTTGACTCCATGGCTACGGCCTTGAAAAAAAAAAAATTTTTCAAAGACATTGGTCTATGGTGGGAATAGCCGACATTTACATTTAGCTCTGTTAAATACGATACCAAAGTACAGTTCTGAGGTACTTTACTCACTTTACTTTCTACTCCACTACACGTTTTGGGGAAATAATGTACATTTTACTTAACTATGTTTATTTGACAGCTGTAATCACTAGTTTAGATTAAGATCTTACATTGATCAACTCATAACATATACAGTCATACATTATTATTGATCAGATTAACCCAACAGTATAGAGCTTTGATTCTGACCCAATAAGACCCAACACCAAAACCCCCAAAACAACTGCCATAGGCCGGGGTCGGGTCGGGCTTGGACAGAATTAGATTTCTTTTTAAATATATATTTTATTAATAATAATTTACACTTAATGCACAATGCAATTAACTTTTCGATTCCAAACTATTTAAATGATTTATTTATTTCAGCTTCAGGTCGGGCTCGGGTCCAGAACTCTTTTCGTGTGGTATTGCTTCTTTTACTTGATTCTTTTTTCACTGCTGTCAACAACGTAAGAACAAAATGATCCAAAGAACAACATTAAACAGTGGGGTCTTTAAACAGACATCATGTAAGAGTTGAAGTATTCCTGCTCTGTACCAGCTTGAAACTCTTTTATTTTATTTTATTTAGTTAAAAGAAAATAGTTTTTACAGCTTTTTTTGCATTAAAGTTATTGACTTGTGGAACAGCAGTCTACTTATTAGCCTTTTCAACTTACTTTCTTTTGTTTTTTCTTATTCCTAGTCAACCTTCAGAGTTGATATCTGGTCAGTAAAGTTAATGATAACAGTTACTTCATTTCTACAGCATTTTATCATCATTAACAAGGCCCGGAACCCCAAGTGACACTCCTGTTGGTTTTTCTATCCTGCACATTGTAAATATCTTTCATGTACATCTTTCTATCTTTATCTTTATCTTTATTTATTTATATTTTTAAAAGTACTTTTAAGATTTTTATGCACCAACACACCAAGGCAAATTCCTTGTACGTGTTAAACTTACTTGGCAATAAACCCAATTCTGATTCTGATTCTGATTCTGATTCATTTGGGGTACCCAGCAGCTCACTTTGTAGGGCGTGCACCCAGTGTACTAAGGCAGAGTCCTCACCGTAGCGGCCTGGCTTAAATTCTCTTTCTCCCTCTCTTTCCTGTGGATCTTAGGCTGTCACTATCCATTAAAGCAGGGTTCGAAATTAACCGCGGCCTGAAGGCCCAAGTTTTATTCCCCCACAGGAGTTTAAGTGGCTTCACATCAAAGGACATAATGTACTGTGGTGTGTGACACCGCTTTCATCAACTAACCTCAATTTTTGGGCCACCATAAACGTACTTTGACCACCAAATTTAGGGGCTTGGCAGCCCGTGGGGCCAATGCCTAAAAATATTAGTGTCTGTTCCTACTTTAAAGGCATACACTTTGTCACTTCACACACTTTGTCGTGGTTATGGTGATGTTCCAAAATCAAGATCAAGCTTTTTGCTCTGTGCAGCAGTGGTGCAGTAACCTGGTCAGCGCAGTGACTGCAGCCTGTGAATCAGATAGTTGAGACCTGGAAATCCTTTGATTGCGGACACTCCTGAGAGGTGGTTTGGGCCGGGCCAAAACACAGGCACAATACACAAATCTGGAGATCTTACTTTGCAGTAAACAAGCACCAGTTCTGCTCATCAAACGATGTGAACCCTCCAGAGAATCAGTGTCTCACATGAACTGTTTTTAACACAACGACTAAACTGCTACAAAAGGCTTATTGTACGTGCCAAATGTTGAATTGCTTGCGAGTCTTGTAATATGTCAGAGTTTAATGGACTGCAGTGGCTTTGAATGTGCATCACACATTTAATAGTTTTTTGAACATCATCTTCCTTTGAGGCCCTTTTCTTTTATTTTGTCTCCTCACTGAGTTAATTCCTTTCCTGTCACAGCATGTTGGTGAAGCAGCTTCAAATCGACTGACAAACACAGACCACAGACAAGCCGGCGGGAAGTGACTTCCTACCCCCTCTGCTCCTCTTTCTCTGAAGCAGCACTTTACAAATGCTGAGTTTGAAATGATTACACAACGGCCATATAATGGAACCACAGTGTGATCAACAAATATTGGCTGACTCTTGATTTAACACGCGCCTTGATAGATTTATACACACCTTCAAGCCATGAAGAGTGATCTCGCTAATCAGGAAACGTCGTTTGCATGAGCACATAACTTAACCAGCAACGGTAGAGCATTTTGATATTCACACATAGAACATTTAAACATACTTTGACAAATGTATTGCCGGCACATGTAAAACCTCGTCAAAATTGAAATTAGTATAATGTCTCAGTATCTCATATCTTCCAGTATAATGAAGTTGTACACATAGAGGAGATCAGGCCACTGAATTGAAGACCACACACCACGTCTAAATGTTGTTTACCAGCGTCTTTAAATAGTCAAGCATATTTCCTCATGAATACAATGCAGCACAATCAGAGAGAGACTGCTTAATAACATTTAATTACAGTGCAATTTCAAGTAGGGGCTTACAAATTCACCTAATGATATAAATGTGTTTAGATAGCTTGTTTAACAGTTTTTATGTCTGTTACTGCTTACATATTTTTTGTATAAGAATTTATGCTGTGTGTACATGAAAATGTTTGTGGTTCTTAAAACACTCTTGCAAGGAGGCTTTTCCTGAAGTACTGACTTTACTCTTGTCATCTCTCCAGTGAAATGCCTGTGAATTTCAATGTGGTGAAGTAACATCTATTCATATGACTGCAGCACCTTTGACCTTGACGTGTTAACGTTGTTGTTGTGTTCAGGCCAAACCCATCCACCTACAGGATACTTCTCGCTAATCACACTAGACAGCACACACAATGTGCTGTCAGCAGTGTACTGCTTTGCCAATCAGTATAAAGACATAAATGCACTATGCAGTTTTACTATGAGTAAATTATACAGGGTGTGTGCTTACAGGTGTCAATCAAACTGCAATTTTAAAAACTTCATAAATGCTACTGGAAATGTTTTGACAAGGAGTTGTTCATTACTTTATTTTAGGGTTTTTGACAGCGATGGCTGCTAGAGCCATTGCTCCACAAAAACGTGTTTTTTTGTTTCATTTTAATTGTCTATCAACACAAAAATCCCAATGCAGTCTCCCTTTTTTGAATTTTTTTTATTTTACAGGGGTTAGTATAGGAAATGAATGGACAATAGTTCAGCACATATCACACACACAACGTGTCATTTATACACTTAGGTCTTTGTACAAATTAAAAAAATAAGATATAATGTGTTAATTAGTGAGCTTTAGAGGTTCTGGTACTGTAGGTGGATTTAGTTACTTTTGGACAGATTATGACCCGACCAGTCTGATCCACGGATTATCCGCAGTGGCCGCAATATTACTGCGATCCGTACACCACTAACGCACAGACATGAGAATGGTATCAAGACAGCAAATTACAGAGGCTAACTATTGATTTAATAGCTATAAATGACTGTCCCTTAAAGGAATAGTTCAACATGTATCATTGTTGGAACTATGGCCTACACACCCTAAACATATTGTATCATGGCTTGTTAGCATCTATTATATTTTTAATGACAGTAATTAGTCAGAAACAAGTTTTTGGAGCTTTTGCTTTAGTTCCCCTGAAGGTCAAAATGGTTTACGACATCAATCTGAATTTTCAAGCTCTCAGTTTGTGTGTGTGTGATTGTGATTTCTGTGTGTACAACTCGGGATTTCCTTAAAGGATATGTGTTTACAAGATTCCCACCATATAAAGCTGGTTCTGATTCTGATTCACTGGCCTCTGGCTGGTATGACTTGCCTCTAGTCCCACGGGAACCACACCGGTGTCCCAGACAAATCCTCCTGCCAACACGCCAGCCTCCAGAGAGCTAGGCCAGCTAAAGCCTCACTTCCCCTGCAGAGGCTGAAAAAAATCCAAACAAAGTAAACAGTAAGCACCTAGTAGTCAACTTCCTTATCCTTGTTAATTATTCAAAATCCCGGAGGAGAGACCGGCCCACAGTTGTCTTCGGAGTCACTTTTTTTTTCTCATACAGGCACTCACTCAACACAGCCCCCCCCTCCTGCCTCCCCTTTCAACTTCAAACCCAGTCATTTCTGCAAGCTGCGCTTTGATTGTACCAAACACCTGTATTTTTCGAGGAGAGACTTCCTTGTGAGCCCCCGCCTCCCATCTTTGATTGTTAAACAGCAGTGGCGCCGTCATTACTGTCTGTGCGACTGATGCCGCCCAGCTTCCCCTCCCATCTTCCACCTCTGCCTTTTAACCGGAACTTTAATTGCTCAGAGATAATTTGGACTGCTTTATTTTATCTAATTTTCAAAAA